CTGGGATGCCCTGTACCCTCAGCTCTATAAACAAATAGCACAGGGGTGTGCCAGGAGGATGCCAGTAATAACATATCTAGTATTCACTATGTCCAGTTTTAACCTCCATATACATTGGAACTCACAACAGTCAGCCACACTAGGGCACTGTTCCCGGTCCCTTCTTATAGACCGAGAAAGGATGAAAGGGTTAAATAGCTCGCCAAAAAATGTTCTTAAGTTTCACATAGCTTGTCTTTTCAGTGAATATGGCATTGAATTTGTGGGTCTGAGTTTGTAGACATTTGTGCCTATAAATGTTTTTGGAGTCTATCTATGTGTTTTGTGTTTACTTAATATTTTTTGTGTGGGGGCATACCTGGGTGTGTGTGTGCGTGTGTACATGCATTTTTGCCCAATGTAAAATGGTTTGTATGAGGTTGTGGGGCTGACCAGCCCTTCCTCCCCACCAAGTCTGCAGGATGGGCCTGGGGAGGGGGCTCACTGGTAGTGACTTTGCCCAGTGAGTGTGTAAGGCCCTGAGTTCCACCCCTAACACCAAAGGAGGAAAAGCCTGCAGAATATGGAACCCACCCTATGACTCTCTTCTCCAGCAGCCTGGTGGCGGCAGTACTGAGCACCCTCAGGCAATGCCCTTCTCCCAGGCTCCCCAAGGGTTGGATTTATAGACTATGCTCATACAGCCACACATGAGAAGGCCCCGGGACTCTTCTTGGCCCTGAGTTGAATATCCTGGACACTGGGAACCTGCCTTCACCTAGAGCCCACCTCCATTTCTTATGGTGTGTGAACTTTCAGTTCACTAGTAAGTTGCAGTTACCATCAGAGGGTCAGCTACCTATCTCAAAGACCCAGAAGGTCCACTTAGTGCTTGCTCTCTGTGAAGCTGTGGGTGACCTCCCACCACCCACCCAGCCCCAACGGACCCAATTCTGGGACAGTTTTGTCAATCCAGGACATATACAAAGGAAATGAATACATGGTCCCTAAAAGTCTTCACAAGTGGGCCCCACCTCGGAGAACAATGTGACCTGAAAATTAACTTTGGTCCACCCACCCTAAAGCAAAGTGTAAAATGCCCCAAAGCTGGCGAAAAGCCCCAGCATTCTCCACCCTCCAAAGCAGCCGCCTTCATCCCAGACTATAGACGTACTCACCCAGACAGAGCTGAGCTGCAGTCCCAGGCTGTCCTTTCTCGCCCAAGTTCTGCCTGACCCCGACCACCAGCATCTAGTCCAGCAGCTCAAGAATGGGCCTGGCCAAGATGCTCTCCCTGGCTTTTGAAGCTCTCGAAGTTAAGGGGATGGGGTGGGGCAGGGAAGGGCAGGCATAACCCTCCAACAGTCCAGGCTGGCCCCAGAAGTGGCTATTTACTTGTGGCCACCAGGGGCGGCTAAGTGGGAAATTGGTTTGTTGGTTTTCCACACTTCCTCCAGACTTCCCACAGACTTCCCTGGTGATGAATTGCCCAGAGTTTAGAGAAACCCTCAGTGCTCCAGCACACAGCCATCTTTGTGAGAAGTTAGCAGCACTCAGGAGGAGCCAGGCCGATGCTGGAAACTGACTGAGGGGATCCCCTGGCCAGCTCCTCCCTCCACACTGGCTGGGGACCAGGAATAAGCAGCTAGAGTTGGGACAATGGAGGCAGAAGGTGCCTGAGCCTGCAGAGACCAACACCCTGTTCCCCACCACCCACACCCAGCTGTGGAATCCATTTTTTGGAGCAGGGCAGGCGGCTTCTTATCCTCTCCTCAGGCCTCAGAGAAGAAAGGGTGATAAAAATCGGTCCTGTTAAAGTGCTGTTGAAACATGACTTCCTGAGACTGGAGGCTACTCTACCTCTCTGAGCCATCTCTAGCAGAGAAGATGCCCTCGGGGCAGCTTCCCAGCAATGGCACGGTCCTTCTCCGCTTCACCCATCACTTGATAACATTCCCAGCTCCCAGCTCCCTCACGTGCCAGGCACCAAGATGGGCATGAAGGCACAAAGATGACCAGCCCCTGTCCTCGGTGGGATGGTCTTCATTCCCAGTCCTCCTCTCTACATCGAACATGTCCACTCTGCCAAGTTGGGGCAGAAGGCTCCTGGTGCCCTACATTCATCCAAGGCCTCTTGCATCCTTTTAAGGCTACCTACTTTTCTCATACCATGGATACCACATCAGAGGCTCTGGGTAGACACAAATCCTGCCCCTGAAGGAGTGATCCTAACACTCAGAAATTGGAGGAACAGGATATTAGATATTCTAAAACCCCAGATGCCCACCCTAGGCATCTGCAGGGGGGGTACTGAGGCAGTGTGGCAACAGGTCCCCAGCTCATGAGTTTAGACATCCACTTTTGGTCCTCATGCCCTCTTGTACCCAATGGGACCAGACAGCGGATACTCTGTGGACCCTGTGTACACAATCACAGCTGGGGACAAGGTGAGCCATTGCTATCCCCCCCCCCCCCCCCGACCCCAGTTGCCTGGCTCTGCCCCACCTATCCCTCCTGATGGTCTGAAGACTCCAACTCTGCAAGGCACTTGGTATAGTCGTTAGCACAGCCACGACCGGACCCCTTATGCTCACCACCAGGGAAATGGCCGGGTGAGGAATAACTTCCTCAGATAAAATTTTATGCTCTCAAGGGGCACGGGGGGGGGGGGGGGGAGAGGAGGAGTAGAGGGACCCACTTAAGGCAGATTACTGACAGTTCAACCAAAGGACAGTCATGAAGGACAATTCTTGTCTCCGTTCTCAGTTGAGTAGGGAGTTGCCTTTCGTGGAGTTACTGTACCATGCCCCTGCACTCACACCCAAACCTCCAGCTTCCTGACTCCAGAGCCACATCGAAGGCTCCAAGAGCTGGGTACCACCCAGCCTTTGGTTTCCATGGCTCCACAGAGACTGTGGAAAGAGATAGGCAGTCAGAGGCCGCAGAACCAGGTTAGAAAGGATCACCGGTGTTTCTTCTCCCTTGTTGCTATGGAGACCAATACAGACAGGCTGGCATGGTGAAGCCAGCACAATTCTGAAGTCAGACTTTCCAGGTTCAAATCCTGGCTTGGTCTCTTACTAGCTGGGTGACTTTGAGGGCTATTTAATTTTTCTGAGGCTCAGTTTCCCATCTGTAAACAAGAAGAGATGGAAGCGCTGGAGAAGTGTACCGGCCTAAGGGGACACTATCTGTGGGGCTCCAGAAGCCATGACAAAGGGTGCATGGGGTATGAAAGGGACAGGCAACTGTAGTCTACTGGGAATTGGGGTAGCCAAGCACAAACCCCTCCTCTTTCCTCTGCGACCACAGGCCTGGCACTATGCGGGCATCTTGCTAATCCTGGCATTTAGGGCCCTGGAGTGTACATTGCTGCTAGTCAATAGTCTTCAGGAACAGGAGCCGGGACTGACATATATCTTCCCAATGACAGGCCGAGACCACCCCCCACCCCCACCCCCACGCCCCACCCCACCCCCGACATCCGTCCCAACTGCTGGCAGCCCCAGTTCCAGGAAAAAAAGGAATGTTTCTGCCCCCCTGGGCAGCTCACACCCACCGTCACAGAAGAACAGACACGGATATGCTGTACAGGGACCGTGGTCACCCCCTCACCGCCACTGTCATGCGCTACCACCAAGCCAAGCCCCTGCTGGAAGGCTCTTGTAACCACCTTTCTCCAGCCAGGCTAGCAGGAGCCAGCAGGGGTAGATGACCCAAATTCCGCGTGTCCCGGGGACTCCATCCCAGCATGTGCCCACTAGCCTCTTTCCCACTAACTCACCTGCCCCCATGGTGAGGGCATGGGGGGACTCATGGAGCTACTCCTAACTGTCCACCACAGAGCTGTCTGCCAAACGGCATACAACCTCTCCAATCCCATTCCATCCCCATTTAGCCAGATGCTGAAATGGAACCTTCCTCTTGTTCTGGGGTGGGAGAGGTGACCATGAGGCATGGTGGGACATACCACTTGGGTCTGTCTCTTCCCAGAAGAGACCAGGTGGGGCTTTCTTCAGCCAGCCAGGCCTTTTCCTCATTCAGCTGAGGCTGACTGGGCTCCGCTCACACCAAATCCACAATGCATTCATTACCGGTGCCATCAGCTGTCTGGCAGGCACTGACTAAGACTGTGCCCTGGACTGCACTAGGCTCAAGAAGATCCGTGGGACACGACAGGATACTAGTAACCTGGTGTAAGGAACAATCGTCTTCCCAACAGGCCTGACTTTTGATCTCAGCTCAATCCATGGCCCCACATATATGGCCCATTGCTGGGACCCCCCCCCCTCCCCTGGAAATCCCTCCTAGGAAGTACATCCGCCGTGGGGGAAGGGTCTCTGCTTCTTTGCAAGGCCCTGTCACCGCCACCACGCAGATGTCAAGCGCAGCACCAGCACGCAGCCTTTTCCTCACAGCCCAAAGACCCCAGCCCAGAAGAACTCCTGAAAAGTTTCTGAATCACTGGCTCGGGTCACCCCACCTCGGCTCCGGAAGGGCTGCGCACACCCAGCCACCTAATTTCCACACCAAATCCGCTCTTGCTAGCCCCGGAGACGGCGGTGTCTGCTTCTGACCTCCCCGTTCATGGGCCTCAGTGGGTCCCAGTCACGACTTTCCAAAGCACAGAGAGTTAGTGGTCCCCTGATGTGGCGTTTGGTGGGGGGCGGGGAGAGGGGCGGGAGCTCCCTTTCATGGTGGAAGGAGCTGCGGGGACAGCCAAGAACCCAACCTGGTTTAAAAGTCCCAACCCTGCGCTCCCAGAAGCGTGCATTTTGGAATGTGCAGGGTGGTCGGCGTGACGGTGCTGAGATCCTCGCCTGTGGCTCGTGCGGTGACCCGGGTGTGGGTACCAGGCAGATGGGAATCTGGCAGCAGGGGGTTTTCCTCGCTCAGGGAACTCCCCTCCCGCCCTCCGCCGGTCCCCTTCTTCTCCCAAAGTTTGGCGCGCGCTCCGGGATGCGGTCGGCTCCCGGCTGGGGCCCAGGAGGCGGTGCCGGGACGCGGGGCGCCCCACTTACCCTAGCCGAGCCTCCTCCTCTCGGCGGGCGGATCCGAGTCTCCGGAGGCCCGCGTCCAGCGCGGGCAGCATCCGCCCCCAACTGCGCCCTCCGCTCCGAAGATGCTGGGGCTGTTCTCCCTACAGCGCCCACTCTGCGTCCCCGGCGAGTGCGGGGAGAGAGGCGCGGCCGGGCCGGTCCCCTCGCTGGGCGGGAAGCGGCGCCAGGCGAGCGATCGGTCCTGCCCACGACCCCGATCCCGCCAGTGGTCGGCGGCGGCCTCCTGAATGGCAGCCAAGGCTCCGGGAGCCCCGCGCCTCTCCACCGGGCTCCCCGCCTCACTCCACACGCGCACCCGGCAACTTTGGGGCATTCAGTGAAGTTGGCGCGGCCGCCCACCCGGCCTCTCCAAGAGGATGGAGGAGGCGGAGGACGCAGGGAGGAGGGAGGAGCCGGGAGGAAGGGCAGTAGCCCCCGCCTCGCCCCCCGGGAGCCTCGCGCTCCACGACCCCTCTGCGGGCCTTTGTTCCCGACGTGGCCGCGTCCCTGGGGACTCGCCCGGGCTGCTCCGATCCCTACCCTTGAGGACCAGGCAGGGTGGAGCTCTGAGCCCCAGGGAAGGGAGTTCAGGGAGAGGCTGCAGGGAGAGCTACCCTGCTGCACCCCCAAGCTGTTGCCCACCCTCAGGGCTGAATGTAAGGATCTTCCTGTCCCTCTGTGGCAGAGGAAGCTAAAGGACGCTCTCGGGGATTTCAGAAAGTTGCCGCACTCCTTCCCTGGGCAGCAACAGGTCACTGAAGTGCCCTTAGTGCTTTCTCACATACCCCCTGGGGCAAGATGCAGGAATTGTCCCAGCCAAGATGCGCAGAGGGAGCTGGAGCTACTTGGCATTATCTTAAGATCCCCTCGGACTGCTGGCACCCCTGAGGTGGGGGGCATGTCGCCTTTGGGCTTTGGGAGGTGGCCAGCTGAGTAGAGAAGTGCTGGGTCTGTACAAAGGCCTGTTTCGCTAAGACTGCTGTAAAGGGCTCAGAATTGGAACACAGGCGGAATTTCAGGTTATGTGTTCCAATCCTGGTGACTTAGTCTGTCCTTGATGCTGCCCTGCCCAACTTTCTTCCCGGGACTTCATAGCCCTCTGCCTCCAGCTAAATTCAGGCCTAAGACAGCCTTCCTGACATTTCATGGGCTCTTGTAAGGTTTAGATAGAATGGGCAATTTTCTATAAAGGAGAAGTGAGAAAAAAATTTAAAAGTAAATACATAAATAAAAAGAAACTTACAAATCTATCCTTGGCTCCCCTTTGTCATGCTGAACATTTGTGTCAGAAAAACAAGTTCACAGACTTGAGGCAGCAGATAAAGAGGCAGACAGAATGGAGTGGGACCCAGGCCAGACCGGGGCCGTCTTCTCAGGTCCCTAATTAGAAGGCTGGTAGACTCTGCCAACCTATTGGATAGCAGGGGCCTGATCAAAGTGCCCTTCACTATGAGGTGAGACCTCCAGTTTGCTCTCTGCAGAAAACCCTCATTGGCTGCCTGTGTTCTGCAGCCGGTTGGAGAGACCGGAAGTGGAGAAAATTCAGACCCAGCTCACTTCTGAGGATCTCCCTGGCTCCCTCTTTCTGCATTGATCCCTGATAGACTCTGCCCGAAAGTCAGTCACCAAGCTCTTCTATGGGTCTGGAGTGCGCGCGCGCGCGCGCGCGCGCGCGCACACACACACACACACACACACACACACACACACACACACACACACACACACACAGAACCCTACTATGTCTTTTAGGTTAGCCCACCCACCCTTAAGAACCTGTCAATGAGATCTACTAAACCCTGTCTGCTGGCCTCATACATAAGGCTTTCCCTTGGGGAACATGGGAAATCTTGGATTTTATCAACCAGAAATTTAAGAGTACACAAAAGGCCAAAAGTTACAACTGTCACGCTGGAAATGTAGCTTAGTTGATAGTGCTTCCTTAGCACACCCAAAGCTGTGGATTCGATCCCCAGTACCACAAAAACTTGAGTGTACACCTGTAATCCCAGAACTTGGGGGATGGAGGCAAGAGAATCAGAAGTTCAAGGTCATTCTCTGCTATAGGGAGTTCAAGGCCAGCCTGGAATATATGAGACCCTGTCTCAAAATAATTTTTAAAAGACAGAACTATGTCATCAGCTTATTATAGACAATAGTGAAAACAGAGATATATCCAAACCAGTGGTTCTCAACCTGTGGGATGACCCTTTCACAAACGACCCTTTCACAGGGGTCGCCTAAGACCATCAGAAATATCAGATATTTACATTATGATTCATAACAGCAGAAAATTACAGTTATGGAGTAGCAATGGAAATAACTTTATGGTTGGGGGGTCACCACAACATGAGGAGCTGTATTAAAAGGTCACAGAGTTAGGAGGGCTGAGGACCACTGCTCTAAACAAATGAAGTGATAAAGCATGGTACCCACTCCAGGCTGAGGAAAAGTACCAAGAACAAGACCACAGAGGACACCAGATGTGCACAATGAGTGACAGCTGGCTCTCCGAACCCACCCTGCTCTTTGAGCTGAAGCCCTGACCTGGAGTGCTCAGGAGGTGTGGGAAACACTCATTCACCAGGCTTTGGGATAGCAGGGCAGCTGGTGCCTGGGCCTTCAGTGAGGGCATCTGACTTGCCAGTGAGTGCAAAGGTCTAAGCCAAGGTCTCCACTGAAAGAATTTTCATCCTAAAATCCTCTCCAAGATCAGTGTACAGTATCACTCAACTAAGGAGAGGCTCCCCTCCCCGCTCCCATCCCACTATCTGAAAAACGGAAAGAACTAGCTAGGCATGGCGGCTCTCATCTGTAACCTCAGCCCTCAGAAGGCTGAGGCAGGAGCATCGCAGTAAGTTCCAGGCCAGCCAGGGATACATAGCAAGACCTTGTATCAAATTAATTATAAATAATCATCATAATATTATAATGTATATTATATATAATAATTATAAATGTATCAAATTAATCTATAAATAAATGCTTCAAAGCAAGTGGCACACACCTTTAGTTGTAGCACTTGTGAGGCAGAGACAGGATCTCTGTGAGTTTGAGGCCAGCCTGGTCTACATAGTAAGTTCCAGGACAGCCAAGGCTATATAGGGAGATCTTGCCTCAAAAAAACAAACAAACAAATAAATCAAAACAGTCTGGGCACATGGCAAAGAAGCCACTGTTGTTCCCTTTGAAAGAAGAGGTACTAAGAGGTCTCAAGAAGCACCATATTTGAGGAAACCCCTCCTGCAGATGTCCTGGCTTAAAGAATGTAAGGCAGGGGTGGGTGGGGGTGGGTGCAGCTTGGTGCCAGAGCACTTGCCTGGCACACGTGAGGCTGTGGGTTCCATTCCTGGTACTGCCAAACAAACAAAGAAAAGTATAGGCATGGTTCAATATGCACTCTTAAAGTCTAGCATTGTGGTGGGATTTGGAACAAAAGGATAAATGATGTCTTAGTCAGCTACTGCTCAAAAATGCTGCGTAACAAACGCTCTCCAAATCTTAGTGACTTATCACATCAGATATTGACTTTCCTTAGTTCCAAGTCTCTGGTTGCAGGTGGGTTCTGTTTCACGCAGGGAATGGCAGAACTTGGGACAAACCGGATCTCTGGGTGAGTTCCGGTCTCTTTTGCATAGATCCACATTCTGCATGGATCAGTAACTGTGCTGGTATGTGCTCTTCTCAAAATAGATACAAAGAGCAGAAGATACATGAGAAAACACACGCACACTCACTGAACGCTTCTGCCTGTGTCACTGGCTAAAGCAAACCCCATGGCCACACCTAAGGTGACATCCCTAACCCTGAGGTATCGTCTGTCCAGCCAGGCATAAGTGGATAGAGCAAGGGGTAAAGGAGTGAGAGCAGTGGTCCAGGCTGCCGTAGAAAAAGAGGAACGGGGGGGGGGGGGGGGTAGAAAGGGAGGAGGAAGAGGGTAAATGAGGCGGAGGAGCAGGATACCTCATTAACTCTGTTAACTTAAGAAAACACAAGATGGGCTGGGCATGGCAGCATGCACCTTCAAGTCCAGCAAGAGGTAGGTGTATCTCTGTGAGTTCCAGGCCAGCCAGGGTTACATACTAAGACTGCCAAGGAAGGAAGGAAGGATGAAAGAAAAGAAGGAAGAAACAAAGGAAGGAAGGGAGGGAGGGAGGGAGGAAGAGAGGGAGGGAGGGAGAAAGGAAGGAAAGAAATACAAGGGACAGAAAAACATTGTATTTGATGGTGGTGGGTAGCGTGGTTTGTTTGCATGCTTGGATTTTCTTGCTCTTGTTTGCTTGCTTGTATTTTGACACAGGGTTTTTATTGTGCAGCCCTGGCTAGCCTAGAACACTGTGTAGATAGACTAAGCTGGCCTTGAACTCACAGGGATCCACCTGCTTTACCTGGAGTACTGGGATTAAAGGCGTGTGCTACCATGCCCAGCTCCACTAGTTTTAAAATTTGTTTGCCTTTTTTTTTTTTTTTGAGACAGAGTCTTACTTAACAGCCCTGATAGGCCTGGAACTCACCATGTAGACCAGGCTGGCCTCAAGCTCATAGAGACCTCCCTGCCTCTGCTTTCCTAGTGACCCTTTAAAAAAAATAATAAAAGCAGAAATGGGGAGACTTTATTCAGAAAAGGAAATCAACCCTCAAAGTGGAAATGGGCTGGTGAACATGGAAAAGCACATGCTCCAAAAGCATTTGTGAGAGAGTTTCTAGACCAGGCTAGCCTCAAATTTGCTATGTTGCTGAGGCTGGCCATGAACTCTTCCTGCTCTTCCTCCCGTGTACCAACATGCCTAGATCTTATTTGTTTCTGGACACGGGGTCTTGCTATGTAATCCCAGCTGATCCTACACTCATTAGTCCTGGCAGGTTCCCAAGTTTGTTACAATTCTTCTGCCTCAGCTTCTCGAGTGCTGGTGCTACAGACATCTCCCACCACAGCCTGGCTAACATCATCCAGTCTCTGGACAATTCTATGGAAGACAGACACAGGCTTCACAACCACCACCAAATAAAAAATTGCAGAGGAGAGAGGAGGGGGGATTAGAGAGAGGGGAAACAGGAAACAGATGAAAAGAAACAGGAAAGGAAGTTTCCAGGCATTGTGTTGGGAAGGTTATCTTTGTTTGTTTGTTTGATTTCAGTGCGAGGTCTCTCACAGGTCAGTCAGGTACACTGTCACCAATCTACCTCCCCTTTATTTTTCACTTTTTAAATTAAAAAAAATATTGGTTTTTTTTGCTGGACAGGAGTGGAGCACGCCCTTAATCCTAGCACTGGGAAGGCAGAGGCAGGTGGATCTCTTGTGTGTTCAAGGCCAGCCTGTTCTATAGAATGAGTTCCAGAATGGCAGGGGTACATAGAAATCCTGTCTCAAAAAAAAAAAAACTTTTTAAAAATTTTTATGTATGTGTGTATGCCACACGTGGGTGCATGTTCCCAAGGAGGCC